CTGCCGGTGAGTGATGTGAAATGTAAATGTATGACTATAAGAAAACGAGTTTTATAATGAAAGAGACATTTCCATTTTGTCCTATAATCAGCTTTGTCATGTGATACTGTGATAGCAAGTTCATGTTTACATAGAATGTCATGTCTTTTGATTTTATCTGAGAGTTAATAATGAAGCATTGTCATTATTAACGCAGTTAAACATTTTTATAATAATTTTGTTTATTCTGATATATTTTGATTGTTATAAATAATATATATATAACATAATATGAATAATAGTAGCAAAATTGTTATAGTAAAGAACTGTTATAGAGGATAACTGTTATAGAGAAATTTTATCTTTATTTTATCTTTTACGCTTGTCTCATTACTCATTAATAGTATACGTAATCCGCCCATAGTTTGGCAATTTAAACTCATACTTAGCTGGAAAACAGAAGGATATATCCACCTTTAATTTGTTGACATCCAACTTGTCCTTCTATACAATGGAATAAAATAAATCTTGGTGACCGTCAACATTAATTTCTTTTCAGTAACTGTGGTGTTCGGACCAGCTTGCACGTATCTCGATTAATTTACGGGATACCTATTACCTTCCATCAGCCAGTGGCATATGCAGGATATCACAATTTGAAAAAGTGGACTAATGAACAAATTACTATAATGATAAGTGATGTCATTTTTTATACTTATTCTTATTATTTTATTTTTCATATACATATCTAGTAAAAACTTTCGACGAAGCAGTGTTCCGTGACAACTAACACCGCATGCAACAAGGTACATGCGCCTCTGCCACCAGCAACATGTATCAGATAACTCTATCTACCAAGACTTAGACAAATAAAAAGAAATCACATAATATTTTCATCTCCGCTGCGATTTAACCACCAGCATTTATGATCACTAAACTTCTAGACACCTACTTCTTTCAGTATCATAATCTTAGGACAGTTCTCCGTTCAAGGGTGTGGCTTAAAATAGATATACACTTTGGATGAATCGATTTAGAGATTAAGAAAGAAACAAAGATTTTTTAAATTTGTAGTTTTAAATATATACGTCTATAAATTTGAAATGGAAAACGATATTACAATTTGACAAATAATGTACAACAATTTAAATTAAGGGTTAAGTTAGGTATCAAGTTGTAAGGTTTATGTTCCCTTCTCTTTATATTTGTCCACTAAAGTAAAACAGAAAAACTCATATATTTTAAACGTCTATATATCTATTAGAAATTTCAAACATAATTTAAGAATGTATATTCAGATCAACTTGTATGCATTTCGATCAATTTATCAAATACTAATTACCTCTCACCAGCATACAACTCAAACTCCCAATAATCTTTTTGGACGGTCAATTAAGATACTTATTAATTAACATTAAGGAAACATAAAAATACATAAAATGTTATAAATAGAATTTTATTTATGGTGAATGTCTATATTTAGTTGGTGGCTAAGTCACCCTCTCCCTATAAATAGAGGGTTCTATTCCATTGTAATTCATCCCAATATCAATAAGAATTCTCTCTCTCTTTCTCTTTGCAATATTGTTCTTGTTCTTTTATTGTTTCATAACACGTTATCAGCACGAGACTCTAACCAATTCAGTAGAAGCTTTGGGATTGAGCATAATGATTGTCAATTATTCCATGAACTTCTTTCATGATTAAATTCTGGATTTAAGGTAAGTATTTTACCGTATTTTTCTCTTTTATTCTATACTTTGATTTTAAATACAAGCAAAGACAACAAAGTTTGATTATAACTCTAATGGAGTTTGTAAGAAATTATAACCACCTGAAGTGGTAAGATTTCTATGTCTCGCCATGATCAAATTCATGTATGATTGTGGGCAAAGAATTGAAAACCCGTCCCATTGAATTTGCTCCATTCTCATTCCCTTAAGAGAATGTGATAGCAGTATGTGATAAGTCTGAAAGAAGACAAAATTATTACTATGAATGTATCAATGGATATGGACGCGACAATAGACGAAATTATAATCGTCATCATTTGTGATAATGAGAACAATAAGGATTCTCAAAATAATCTTTCACTCTGTGAAAAATATTTGTCATCGATTTGACATGAGATTTTGTAAAGCACATATAGATGATTATGGTCCGTTCATGATGTGAATGTGACAACATCTGATTTATGAATACATATTCATTCTTCAAAGAATATGAACGTGCTAGTGGTAGTGAATATACCGCACTCACCTCTAAAAGGAGGTTTGAGATGATATAAGAAAATAATGTCATTATTATGGCATGAATGGTCATTGGTCACGTACCTATTGTACGCCAAAATATTTTGGTAATGTGATTATTAAAGAATAACAGTAATGCAAGAAACAGATCTTGCATATAATTTTGACCATAACCATAATGGTATAACTTTCTCTTTAAAAGAGATATTCACCATATGGATGTTGATGAATATGTGGTAGTACAAAATTAATTGAGAGCTCTAGAAGAGCCAATTATACTTTTTTGGAGAAAATTGATTATCAATAAGACGTTGTGTTGTAGTAAGTCTCAAAGAAACTTATTGAGTTTCTAAAGTATTCGCGAAAACGATTGGTTATATATTGAGACTATAAATAATGGAAGTATTTAATATCCTCTAATACTACAATTTGTAGCGGGGTAATATGTATGTGAAAAGCCACCCGCTTTATTCTCCAGTTGTACTACACAAACAAAACCATACCACAATAAAGTGGATGTTTATTGATATAAAAACCCATATCATAATAAACTTGGAGTTTATTGATAATTACACACGTCATGGTGTAACCCTGAACTTTATCAATATTGATAATTTATTCAGTCGGCATAATTGGTTTAGCCATGTCAATTCAAGTATGATGTGCAAAAATAAAAGAGAATTCACATGGGTAAATATTAAAGGACTAGAAAGTTCTTTACGAATTCTCTTACATTTCTTGTTCTCATTAATTAATAGACCAATTAAAATCGGGATTGAATCCCATGAATGCTGGAAATATCAAAGGTGAATATGAGCCCATTCACCTGCCATGTATACCACATAAGATGCATCTATGAGATGGTTACATGTGCGATTATTATTAACCCGTAACATGGTGTTTGCGAGGTAACTTGCTCAATAATTTAATTTAGAGCATATTCCAGATTTTCTATTCAAGAAGTTGATCTTGATAAGTTGGCCTACATCACAGCTGGTTTAGCAAAATAATTTATTGAGTGCCTCCACTTAATAGCTAAACTATTGCTTATGAGAACAAAGTTATCTATATCAGTTTGATATAGGTTATATACGAAAGTATATTACATTCTCCCCTTACAAGTCGTTCATGGTCAGGAACCAAATAATTCCATCTTATTATTATTGACGTGCGGTGTATATTTTGATTAACACCATAACGCACAAAGATGGGTTCTCAAAGTTGAGAAAACAAGTTAGTTTTTCTAACATGAGGGGGAGACATAATAAACAGTTGAGAAAATGTTACGTGGAATGAATTATCACTTGTACATCTAGATCCTCGAATAAGATAATATGAACTTGAAGTTCATAAAAGGATAATTCAGTTGCGATATATTGCAAAGCATGCAGACGCATTTGCTGACCCAAAGAAAGTAACTATATTCTCATTGCAAATGCTCATATTAAGTCCTAGAAGGACAAAGTCTATGGTACGCTTAAAGCATATAGACAAATCGGTTTCAAATAAACTTCTTGATAAAGAAGATGAGCAAATGATCGAAATGATCATAATAAAGGAGGCAAGTGATCTAGAAGATCACATGACATAACACTTCATAAAATCTCACGAGAGATTCAGGTACCTGAATATATGAATGAAGAGATCTCTATGTTATGTCTTTATGAAAAATAAGGAGGTTGGAACCGATATAAAATGTTTGTCGACGACATCTATAATAACGCTAAATATATATGAGGACCTCAGGTCTGGAGAAACAATTCAAGTAGAATTTGGTTTCCTATGAAAGACATGTAGTTTTGAACATGTGCAATCAGTTTTCGATATCTTATTTGCCTAGCATGACATGAAAACTTGATATGCATCTAATTAAAGTCTATTGTATGACTTATATGACAATCCTTGAAGGATTTAAATTGCTTGAAGCATATACAATTCTTGATCTTGAAGTACCACTTCCTTAGTGCAATTTGTGCACAAATGTATCTTGCTATAACTATAGGCACAATAATATGATAGCAAGAGTTTTCACCTCTATGTGAAAATATTGAACTAACGATTACAACAAGATCATATGAAGACAATACATCGATCAGGGATGATGATTTCAAGGTGAAACAAATTTGTTGAAGTTAATATGACTGATATTGTTTATAAAATATCTATCAACGATCTTTTGAAGATGGTGCACAAGATTGGAATGCAAATGCTTAAGGATGTGAATTGATGCTCTCATCAGGGGGAATTAATGCGCGTTGCACTCTTTTTCCCTGGCAAGGTTTTGTCCCACTGGGTTTTCCTTGTAAGGTTTTTAACGAGGCAACCAATAGGCGCATTTCTAAACACGTGTACTCTTTTTCCTTCTCTAGAATTTTTTTCCCATTGGGTTTTATTTTAGTAGGTTTTAACGAGGCACATTATCTGTTGAATAAATATTCAAGGGGGAGTGTTATAAATAGAATTTTATTTATGGTGAATGTCTATATTTAGAGAGATTCTAGGGTTTATTACTTGGTGGCTAAGTCACCCTCTCCCTATAAATAGAGGGTTCTATTCCATTGTAATTCATCCGAATATCAATAAGAATTCTCTCTCTCTTTCTCTTTGCAATATTGTTCTTGTTCTTTTATTGTTTCATAACATAAAAAAAGTTTTTCCTTTCTTTTGAAAATTTAATAGTAGTACATTAGAAAAGTTTATTTTACAAATTGTCAATAAAAAAATATAAATAAGTAAATAAACAAACAAAAGAACATGAAAAAGAAAAAAAGCAAATGTGGCAAGCTTGACAAACAAAATAACAAAACCGAGTCCTTCCCTTTATTAATATCTGCTCCCTCTCCAACTCTCAACTCACCGGCACCGGCGACAAATATGAATTGACCAAATTGCCCCTCTTCTACTACAACAACAAACCCACAAAATCGAAGGACTAGTTGGTAATTTCGTATGGGCGCATCATTGTCGAACTTAACGGAGAACGAATCGACGGGACCAGGACTCGGTGACATACCGGAAAATTGCGTGGCATGCGTTTTTATGTACCTTACCCCACCGGAAATTTGTAATTTAGCTAGGCTTAACCGCGCGTTTCGTGGGGCCGCATCTTCTGACGCCGTTTGGAATTCTAAACTTCCGTCCAATTACCACTACCTGCTCGACCTTTTGCCTCTGAGGGAAAAAATAAACGAGGGTCTTTCTAAGAAAGACATCTTTGCTCTCCTATCTCGTCCTGTTCCATTTGATGATGGCAATAAGGTAATATATAGATTTTTGGGGTGTTACTATTATTTCATTATTTGGTTGTAAATGATTAAGAATTTAAGTTTCAATGCATTGATGGTATTTACACAATCGGGTCACTTAAAAGGTAATTGCTGTTAACTTTGTCTAAATTCATTGATTGGTAACCTAGAATTAATGGTAAGTAACAAGTTATAACTGGTTAAGTTACTTTGACAGTGTAAAAATTCCATTTGATGATGGAAATAAGGTAATAGTATATAGATTCTTCTTGGGGTTTTAGTGTTATTTACATTGTTTTCATTGTAAATGATTAAGATATTATGTTTTATGCACTAACATTGTAAAAAATATTTACAGAATCGGGTCGCTTAAAAGGTAAGTGCAGTAAACTTTATTTAATATAATTGATTGGTAACCTAGAATAAATAGTTACTAAGTAATATGTTATAACAGGTTAATTTACACTGATCTACACTGTGAGTCTATATTACTTAAATCCCAATGGTTAATTGGGTTTCTAGGTCAGAATTTATTTTGGGAATTTTAGTTGGGTGGTGTTTGAGATAATGTTTCTTTATGTTCCAATAAAGAAGTGTGTAAATTTCAAGTAGATTGATTGTAGAATTGAAGTGGGAATCTGAATTCGGCTGTTTGACATTGATTATTATGCTGTGCTATCTGTGATTACGGGCACCAAATAGAGCTTCATATTGAGTTGGGGGTTCTTTAACGTGTTTTATTTTCTTATGTTAGAAGTCTCTCCATTCCAAAAAAGAATGGTGTTCCAATTATGAGGTCAACTTATCCATTTATCTGTGTGAATAGATACACTATAATCTGTTCTTTTCTACATCAAAGTTTATATTTTGGAAACTATATAGGACGCTTTCATGAGTTACAATTACAATTGACAAATACGCTCCGATTCTTTGTTAGTTTTTGCCTAAGTTTGCTCGGACTCGGGTGCAGGTATCCTATATGGCTATATGTGTGCAAATCTTGAGGTCGGATCCTTCATGATCTGAATTTTAAGATTAGGGGTTACGTATATGGGTGGAGATTCGACTGAAAGTAATTCAAATATCTGAAATAGAGCTATAAAAATATGCCTAATTATGAGACATTATTTGGAAGACTTACATGTAGCTTGTAGAGTGCACTTGCTTTTCCCATGTCTTCAAATCTACACTAGCTTTTGTCTTGAGAAATCAAAATGCCAAATCTTATGTCAAATTTCTCCATAGTTTTTGGTCAAAGTACCCAATATTGAATAACCGGATCCTGTACATATCCCACACCCATACTAGTGTCGGTGTTGTGTCGACACAAGTGCGGCACCAAAATGAAAAGTCCGAGCAACTTGGGTTTTTGGTGCACCCATTAAGTTACTATCTGTATAGAAGATTGGGTGATATTGGTATAGAACCATATAATTGTGTAGGTTCTCTACGAGAGTTTTTCCCACATTAATAAAATTATTTACCTTATCAAAGAAAAGTTTCATGAATTACAAATTGTTATAGTTGAAAATATTTAAAAAGTTTTTGAAGAAATCGTAGTCAAAGAATAAACTGCTACACTTTCCAAATAGTAATAGTGTCAAATAATTGGGAAAGAAGAAGTAATATGAAGATACTACTTCCCGGGCACCTGATTGGCAGGAAGAGGAAGTTTGAGTAATTTGTAGAGCTTCTTGTGTCATTGAATTTCATTTGTGGTTTGGTTTTTCTTTTTGGCTGAAAATTGTTTGGATAAAGTATAAGTGATGCTTTGTTTCTAATATGTACTTTTCTTTTGATGTGGGAGAAATTGCAGGAAGTATGGTTGGATAGAATTAGTGGAAGGATTTGCATGTCTATCTCGACGAAAGCAATGCTGATAACTGGTGTTGAAGACAGGAGACATTGGAACTGGTTTCCCACAGAAGAGTCAAGGTTAGATTAGTATGTTCAAACTATATGCAATAAATGTCTTTACTGATTATTAAGATCACTCCATTAGAGTACCCATAATAAAAAGGATTGCTAGATTAGAGTAGTTGTTTATTTAGCAATAGCTTTCAGTTTATCCTCTTCTCCTTCTGTGAACCACAGACTGGTTGGAGCAGGTTGGTTCCACTTTCGAGCGAACCTTTTCTGATCTCATTGCTGGTATATGGTGAAGACAATGTCTGAGATTAATAGCCTCTAGCTTCTTTACCATTGAGGGTTATCAGTGCATTGCTTTGCATCTTTTTCTGCCCAACGAAATCTACCTTGTGCTGAGTTTCAAGGAAGGAGAAAATTTGAGTATCTGTTTTACTTATTTTCAGTGATACGGTGCTGACACTGTCCAAAAAAACAAAGTTAGGTGCTGATTATAGAGAATAACTACCAGTTTCAGTAAAGTAGGATTTGAACCTCCGTAGCCGGAGGATACTTTTTTGCCCTTCACAAAACTGTCAAAGGAGAAATCTCCTAGATATGTGGAAGTGTTCCTTTTCGTTTTCATGTTCTTTTGCTTTTCTTATTTTTGGTGCCTGAGGGTAGACAAGGAAACCATGCTTTTCTTCCTCCCTCTTTGAGAGGTCTTGAACCCTTTATTATTAGAGTTTAGAGCATGTACTTGGATTTTTTGCTGTGTATAATAGTGGGAAAGTAAGATTTTGGATAAATTTGTGGACAGTCTGTCTAGGTCGATGTGCCTTTGCTGGACAGTATTCCTATTTGTGAATGAGGAATAAGATACATGGAAAAGTTTTTAGTTATAGCCAATCTGTTAATTGTAATTAGGATTTTGGTCAGAAGTATAAATGTTATTCTTTTGGGATCAATACAGAAGCTACTACTTGGCTAATTATGGTTGGTATTAATGGATTGCGTGTTGGGAACGGGTGACTCTTCATTTTCCCCGACTCAGCCACTTGGACCAATAAACTTACTTATAGAGTTTGTAAGACCAAATCATTTGTTCCAGAATTAAGAACACATATTTCCTTGACATATCTTGCTAATTAATTTAACAGATTTGCAGTAAATATCTGTATCTGTAAAGAAAGTTTGAGAAATTACAGATCATGCTTATGGCTATCTATGTTAAAACATAGAATCCTGCCTATCAGGCAACTAAGGATTAATATTGTATGAGACCTTTAAAAGACGATTGACATGCTGTTTTAGACAATGTTATCACCAGTCACTAATTCCCTAGTTCACAAAGACAATGGTTAGATTAAGCCTTTTCATTGCAATATCTGATCATTCATGAGCTTCGGGCTTTATTCTGTTGGTTAACCATCCATGGCTTATGAGAGGTGGAAGAGGGTCCTTTTAGCAGTTGTGCTCGGCCATTTTTTCTTCTTCTTAGTCATTGGATTATACTGACTCAGAGAACACCTATGTTTTTCCTCATTCTTCTTTTGTAATTCACCTTTTTATGTTTTATCCTCATTGTTAGACAACCTCTTCTCTGACCACATATAATGTTTTCGGCTGCTTGGAAACTGCTAGAATGCATTCTGTTTTTCGTTCTAAAAAAACCAAATTGTTAAGGATGTCTAGAACATTGACATTCTAATATTTCTGCTGCCACAGGTTCCATGTTGTGGCATATTGCCAGCAGGTATGGTGGTTTGAAGTAAGCGGTTCAGTGAAGTTTCCATTTCCGCCGGATGTATACATGCTAACATTCAGGGTCCACCTTGGGAAATTTTACAAGAGACTTGGTCGACGTGTTAGCAGCTTTGAGCACACTCATGGATGGGATTTAGGGCCAGTGCGATATGAACTGACTACATCTGATGGACAGCATGCAGTGAGTGAGTACTTCATTCATGATATCGAGCAAGATGATGCAAATGGATATATAAAACGTGGCAACTGGATAGAGTACAAGGTGGGTGAATTTATAGTCAGTAGGTCAGACCCTGCAACTGAAGTTAGATTTTCAATGAAACAGATCGATTGCACACATTCCAAAGGTGGGCTTTGTGTAGATTCTGTATCAATTGCCCCAAGTAATCTGAAGGGGCGTCGACGAAAAGGGGTCTTGAAGTATCAGTAAGTCATCTCTTTCTAGTTTTACCTCTGCTCCCAGAAAGTTTCGGTTGGGGTTCCGTTATATGGCTTATACTACCTCACATTGGTATCGTGGAGGATAGTCATCGTAAAATTTTGCCTTAGGTATTTTCCTCTGTACGTGTAAATGTACTATGTTGTATGTGGTCCAGTTTTGTTGCATAGAGTCTCTCATCTGCGGAAGATTAAGAAAATATACTTTGCTCGTCTGTCATGAGAAAAGGTTCGACTTCTTTAACTTTCTTCATGTACATATAAATACTCTACAAATTCTTTTCAAAAGTCTTTACTGCCACTTGTGTTTTCCGGTTTGCCTTCAGTGCTTGAAGTCTGCTTTGCTAGAATCCGCCCTCCTTGTAAAGGGCACCCTGCTGAGTTTCTGTTCCTTTAATTGCTTTCTTGATGCGCTTGTATATTTATTGTACTTCTGAAGGCAAATATGTTATGGTATTTTCATAACTAAACAACCTTCAGGGTCACTAGTATTTGACTGCATGTCTATTGCAACAAAGTTGTGCCTGATTTTGACATAAGAAGGCCTTCCTTTTCCTTTTGCTTTATCACTTTCTTTAGGATTAAGTAAATAATACCTAATTACAGAGTGTTAAAAGATAGTATTCATGCCATTCTTGTTGAATGACCTCCCTTTTGCTTTATCACTTTCTATAAGGCAAAGGTAGGCTTGTGTTCTGCTTCCAAAGTTAATATGGATAGATTTAAACTACCTAAAATAACTCAAATAGATTTATAGTCTAATGGCATGAAAAGTTTAAAAGGATAATTTGGGCAAATATTAAATCTAATTCTGGATGCGTAGGAGTAATTTTAATTATTTTATCGTCCCGCCAAAAAAAAAAAAAATTATTTTATCGTCCCTGTAGGGTAAACTTAAAACCTAGTATTGTAAGGGCTGACATGGTCCAGGATTTCATGTCAATATAAAAATTCTTATTCGAACAAGAAGTCCTGTAGTTTATAGTTTTTTTCTTTATATAGTAATTCGACATGTTGTTCCGCATCCCTCTATCAGTTTACTAAAAAGATAAAAATAGAAAGGACTCGAACTACCTCCTCATTATTCGGAGATAAATCATAGAACACCCGCACCGGGTGTTTACACCTAACCAATAGATACATGACATGTATCTTGCATATGGACTTCAATCATTTAACCGTGGTAAATTATATGCATTCTCATCTTATTAAATTAGTTAACCATGGTGAGTTAATATAGTTTGGTGTAAACATCCGGTGTGGTAAGTATTTACCCGAAAAGCTATAGATTTCATAGAGGAGTGGGTTCTATGAAGTGATCTCAACATACATTCCGTTGGGTTCCCACTTCCCAAATGGAAGTATGTGAAAACTGGAATTAGGTTTCGCCCTTTTGTCTTTCCATGTTCCCCTTAACATAATTTATTCTCTTCCAACAAATATATTTATTTACTCGTACCAGTAAACTTGCATACTTGATAGGAAAGTGAAACTATAATATTTTCGATGACTTAGTTTATGTGTCTGCCGAATCATATTATCATTTAAGGTTTAGTTTCCTTGCTCTGCCCCAAACTTGGTCACATTCTGCTGGCATACTCTATGGTGTATGCAATATCAACACCATTTTACTGGCACTCCGCTCTCGTTATCCTGACTTTTCTCTTTGCCGGGACCCTCTCATTGCTATAGCCATAAGCTATGACAGCGGAAGCTCGCAACCACAAGGGCCCGCCCCACAAGGCCAGAGTGGGCTCAACGTTCAGCCTCCATTCGAATTATGTTAGGGGGTGTTTTGCTTTTACTATATCTAAAGAGATACTAAAAGTCCTCCGTCCCAAATTTCATAGCCGCGACCATCTAGTTCATTGCTCTTTATATCAAACTAATAAATACAAAAATGTGTCTTTCATACACACATTTATTGTTTAACCATGATATTATGCTATGTATTCTCACTTGAATTTTTGACGGTTAAGATCAAATTTTAGTTTGTCATAATCACTTAGGTGCAGGTGCAGATAAATACTTTCCATATGACAACTATGACTAGATCCTTCTCCTTGCTCAAAATAGAGTTGTCTATCATTGATCTATCACTCAAATGTGGAACTTTGAGATTGACATAGGTCCACTCCATCTACAGAACAAGGTACTGATACTTTCATCCGGACAAAAAAAGAGTCTCCTTTTTTATCATTACATTCAATCTCTAACAACCATTTCCACATGTGATATAAATTTCAGAAAATGTATAGTGTGACCTAAAACAGTACTGACTGTTAAGTAGCTGTCTTTTTAGTGTGGCTGCTGGAACTTTGCTGTTCAACTTAAAAGTATCTGCTCCTTCATCCAAGTTGTGAGTGGTTTAGGTCAATTTTTTCCATAAAGTGGTCATAGAATTTCTTGAGCCGACAGTCTATTCGAAAATAGCTTCTCTACCTGCACAAGGTTGGGATAAAGTTTGCGTACGTACTACCCCCTCAGACCCCATATGTGAGACTATATTGGGTATGTTGTTGCAAGCCTAGTGATTAATGAGGCAGGTGAAAATTATATAAATGAACGTCGCTCGAGATCTTGGTGTGCAGAGTTATACGGTAAGTTGTGTGAGAAACATGTATCCAATCAGATAGTCGAGGTATAAGTAAGCCAATTCGAACACCATCATCTTGATGTGCAGAGTTATCCGGTGTGAGAAGTGGATATCCAATTAAATAGCGAGGTCGAGGTATAACAAGCTGATTCGAACACCATCATCTTGGTGTGCAGAGTTTTCTGGTAGATATGTTGGTGTGAGAAGTAGGTAATCAATTAAATAGTCGAGGTACAAGTAAGCTTGTTCGACACTATCTATTATAAAGAGAATGTATCTGTCGTTGGACGAAGGACCAAGCTATACTACCACATATGTAGCAGGCCTATATTATTAAATGTGGTAGTATTGTATGTGCTGAAGAAATATGCATTCTCATCATTTACTACTTGATAAATATTCTTAAAGAACCATAGAATTTAAGAGAAATAGAAAAAAAAAACAAATATTGTATTAAATTTGTACGTGAAGTGTTCATCATTAGGCGCCGCCTGTCCTTGGATTGTATCTTTGCACATGTTAAACTTTAAGAATTACCTAAATGCGAGAAGCTAAGGTCAGGACAACTTGCACTATATTTGTGCAACTAAAGTTTCTTGATAGCTATTCCATTCACTCGATATTAAAAAAAAAAATAAAAAAAAATTACACAATCAAATCGCTTGTAAGGTGATTATGATAAATGAATTTAAGTTAAACAAACTGATAATATAATAATTTTTTTTACATCATTAGTGTACTTTAACAGTGATAGAAGGATAGTTACCGTTATTCAGGGATGTATCTAGTGTAGAGGCTATAGGTTCACCCATAGCTTTCACTCGTATACGGTATTTTCGTCCGAAAAAATGTTAAATATATACAAATAGTAAATTTTACACCCACTAAATTAGATGGGATGTGGTAGAATTGCTAATTTGAACACATTAAGTTCAAATCCTGGATCCGCCTCTACTTTATTACCAGTTACATTTAATGCTAAACATAGAGATTTATTTGTTATCAGTGACGGAGCCAGAATTTTCAATTAAGGAAGGTCAAAATATAAATATGTCAACCCATGAAAAATTTAAGGGGTGTCAACATATAGTGTATATTCATATGGATTTATGAACTCATGATATATAACTATAATTTGTGACTATTCTGACCATTGCTGCAAGTTTGAGGCGCATCATAATATCTCATTAATAAAAACAGACAGTTAAATGTTGATGATCAGAAGCTTTAATTTTGAACCTTTTTAATAAATAGAAGAAAATGTACGTTGTTAAATGCTCAATTTTGGTGGTTGATAAACACTTTTTTTTTTTTTTTGTGGTAATGAACGATTTTATTGATACAACAAGAACTAAGAGTTATTACAACGGGAGGTCAGTCTAGGTAGCAAAGTGCCTAGACTGTCTCTTTCTAGTACATGTGAAACAAAAGCGGGAGGGGATACATAAGTATGCAAAAAGCATAAAGTACCCAAGTTACATCCATTCTTTGCTAATAGGTCTGCTACTCCATTAGCCTCTCTAAAGACGTGCTTCAAAGGTGGATCATTCGCCTTCCCCAATAGATACCTGCAATCGTCAAGCAAATTTTGGTAGAGACAGTTGTTAGATTTAAGGAGGCTTATTAGTTCCAGACAGTCAGTCTCAATTACTATTGGGAGGAAGTTTTCCTTAAGAGCTAATTTAACACCATGTAGTAGGGTCAGGATTTCCATGTATATGTTAGTAGCGTATTCAATTCTCATGTTAAAGCCCAAGGTCCACTGGCCCCGGCTATTCCTAAATACTCAGACAACCACTTAAATTAATTTGCATGGACCATTTCTTGTTTTAGGCTTTGCATGGTCCTCTGTCATTTGGTTCCTTAGCTGGATGAATTTGAATTTGAATTATTATATGGTCCCAAATATTTTATATTAATTGGTTTGCTAGGGCATTTTACAAAATAGAAAACAATAATTTATAAGAGGGAAAAGTACTAATCATAGTTAAAATTTTGATTCTATTGTTCACTCTGTGCAAAGTAAAAAAAAAATGTACTTCCGTCTATTTCCATAAATATGCAATGAATAGTAGATGAAAATTAATTATGCAGCCAAAAGAGAAACAAATTCCCATGTTACTTACAAAATTCTTAACCATGTTACAAAATTCAAGAGTAAATAAATTAGAAGATGGTTAAATCTGAATTGGCTCAATGCTAGTGAAATAAACTATAGTTGAAAAGGAGATGTAGATATGAAGTGAATAAAAACAATAATCTAATTTTAACTTCAGAAAAATACAGCAAAGATTAAATTAACATTAGATAATGAATGATTGTTATATAGGGATGTTGTTATTGAGATCGGGCTGAATTACGTTTTCTATTGAATTCGTTTTTATTTAATGACAAGGTGAGTAATAGTTTGAAACCCTTGACTTGGGACCTACATTTATAAAAGTCAATTAAGCTATTTTTGGTAAGTGCCTACAATTAATAAAGACATGAATAAATGCTTTTATGAGTATATATATTATATTGATGAGTATCATATATATGTTCGGGATACTATATTATATGTATCAATAATCTGATAATTAATCTTTAAGAGAGTCAATAAATTAATTAAAATATACTATTATTTATAAGTAGTTTTTTTAATACAACATCATCCAAAATATTCCAATCATATGTAATGGTTTTAAAATAAAAACATATTATTTCACTCATATTTTTGTTTGAACTACGTATCAAATTTGTTGTATCTAAGCCTTGGATTGCCGTGTGTCGGTTGTTTCGCCTA